TTATTGTTATCATTATTGTTATATTTATGGTTATTATCATCATTATCGTTATCATTATTGCTATTATCATCATCATATTGTTCTTGTTGTTTCTTATTTATTTACTCATTTATTTTTATTTTCATTTACTGCCATGAGTGGTTGTCTTCATATACATATATTTCTTTTTTTTTCCTTCACGTAAAACAGAACACCTTTAGACAACGTATAATTTTAGCATCGAAATATATCGCATATTACTTCCAGACCCTCTAAATAAGTAATAAAAATTGTTTCTTCTCAAAAGATTTTATTTATGCAACATGAACGGAGGTTGAAATGTCCTTGTGTGACGTCACGCACGATTCGCCCGCTCTTCAATTTTTTCTTTTTCTTTTTCTTTTTCTTTTTATATAGTTACTGTTATTTTTAGTTTACTGTTTGTTGCTTTTCTTATTATTGCTTGTTATTCTTTTATGTTTTTTTCTCTCTTTTTGTTTCGATCACTGGTGTTGCGTTTGTATTGAGGACAACGGGCTTATTAGAATATCGTAGAATTATTTTTTGATAATTTCTAAAAGATTTTATTTATTCTGTTTAGTGTAGATAGAACAACATAATATGAAACCAAAATAATACTAATGATAGGTAAAGGATTTTTTAAAGACAAGGATAGAAGATTAAAAAAGAAGATGAAGATAGTTATACTAAAAATGGTCTTACTGCGATATCCGAATATGCTCGTAGTCCTACGCTTTCGGACAGATCGCTAAGATCAGGAAAATATCGTAAAAAAAAAGAGGTCAAATATCTCTCTCCCTTTAAATAACATATATCCCCACCCCACGTACTTCGAGTAGTCAACAAAACCAAAAATAACATCACAAGTTAAAAAAAAAAGCATACAAACATAAGTACAAATAAAAAAAACAGAAAAAGAGATTTAAAAAGCGTACGACCCACCCGTAAGTACGAACTATAGAACCAATTGTTACTTAGTGTTCAGTAGAGTACAAGTAAGCTACCATCTTCTCACGCTCGCCTTAGGACCAAATACTTGACCTCAAGGCCGAGCTCTCAGACTCTCAAGATGACCTTAGTGTCTTGAGGCGAAACCACGAAGATCTTCTGAATAAAAAGAGTCGACTGGAGGTACGTATTTTTTTTCTCGAAAAAAGGAGGAAAAAATAGAGGTAAATTAAGCAAGAAGATGTTTTTTGTTGTATGCGAAGTAAGGGTAAATTTGGTCGCTTTTCTTGGCGAATGAAGGGATACAAGCCTAAAGCAAATGTATTTACGTAGTAGGAGTAGGCATGACTGACTTTTTTTTAATTCTGTAGTTATTCTTATTATTGCGCGATTGACAAATTTTTGTAAGATATAGAAAAAAAAGTTTGTATATTTAATATTGGCTTTCTACACTATTGTTGTTATTTTTCTCCCTTCTTGTGCTTTTCTTATTCTTATTATCATCATCGTTATTGTTATCATCATCGTCATCGTTATCATCATCGTCATCGTTATCATCATCGTTATTGTAACTATCATTATCATCATTATTGTTGTCATTATCATCATCGTCATTATTGTTATTAAGATTACTGTCATTATTATCATTATCACTATTATCATCATCATAATCATTGTCATAACTCATTATTACTGCAAAGGCTATTACGATCGTCAAACGTTATTTTCATTATCATTTATCTCATTATAATCCTCATTCCGATATTTATTACAAATTACTCTTGTTCACATCATTACTAATATTATTAGCATTAAGACTACTAACACCGTATTTCGTATTATGAAGCTTTGTTGACAGACGAAGCGAAGTGATCGTTTTATAAGACTTTCCTTGCCATCGAATGAGAGAAAGTGTTAAAGCAGCTTTCCAATAATTAGAGGAAACGTGTACATATATTTTTTTCCCTCGAGAATTATACCGGCGTAGGACGAAACTCATTTAGAAAAGGTGGGAATCGATTGAGAACAAAAGAAGTTAGTATTAGATTGCTGATCCCTTCTATAAGCGATCGAAGTAGAATATTCGATCCTAAGGCCGCCATGTATAGATGAAGCAAAACCTGTATAAAGAACTTAAGGGATAACGAACCGAAATAGGACCAGGATATCATACCCAACGATTAATAAAAATATCGGTAAATCCTATTCACACAAACAAACAAACAAAAAATACTCAATGAACCAATAAAGAGAACAATTACATCATCTCCAAACTGAACCAAATTATTTTTCTTGAATTATTAGGTTCGTTATCCCCTGGGGAAAGTGCAGTGGACAGGAGATGATTCTGTGCCTTTAGTTATGTAAAAGACTTTTGATGTAATTTGCAATTGAGTGGAAGGGCGAAAGAGGAAGAAAGAGGTATGCAAAAGTAGGGTTAAGAGAGAGAAGGGGGAAGGAGGAAAGGAGGGAGAGAGAGAGAGAGAGAGAGAGAGAGAGAGAGAGAGAGAGAGAGAGAGAGAGAGAAATGGGGAGGGACGGAAGGAGAGAGAGGAGGGGAAGACTGAGAGAAAGAGAGTTAGAAATAGAGAGGGAGGGAGGAGAAGGAGAGAGAGAAAGAGATAGATAGATAGATAAATAGAGAGAGAGAGAGAGAGAGGGGGGGGTGTAAGTGTGAGAGAGAGAGGTGGAGGAGAGAGAAAGAGAGAGAAAAAAAAAATAGCTCAGTAAATGAATACGAGTGAAAGGAATTTAACACACAAAAAGGTTTCCTTAACCTTTAAAGCTTTATTGCTACTCGCCGTATCTAAATAAAATAAAAAAAATAAAAATAACCGCATGTGTGCACCGTAGGTAACACAAGATAAAAAAGGTATATTAACATATCTGGTTATCTGTAAAAAATGCTTTAAAGAAAGTTTAAATACGCTGTCTAATAAAGTATCTTCTGCTGCCTAATCGTCTATGTATTGTTTTGCTTTGCGTTGAAAGACACCTGTATTTGCATGATGCAGAGTGTCAACAATGCTGCAATATTAAACACTTGGAATGCATTGATCTATAAGATGTGAAAAAAGAAAGAGAGAATGACAGAGAGAGAGAGAGAGAGAGAGAGAGAGAGAGAGAGAGAGAGAGAGAGAGAGAATGAGAGAGAGAGAGAGAGAGAGAGAGAGAGAGAGAGAGAGAGAGAGAGAGAGAGAGAGAGAGAGAGAGAGAAAGAGAGAAAACTAGAAAGAAAGAGAGTAAATGAATATATCCCATAAAACAAATGCATAAAAAAGAGTGAGAATGAAAGAAAGAAAGAAAAAAAAGATCGAAATGAAAGAGAGAGAGAGAAAGAAAGAAAGAAAAAGAACGAAAGAATGAGAGAAAAGAAAGAAAGAAAATATAACTGAGAGCGAAAGACATCACACGAGAGCGCGGGCCTGCCAGCGTGTACATACTCGACCCTGTTCGAAACCGCCGCGAGACACCGAAGCTTCGAAACCTCTGACCTCCGCTCTTTACCCAGGACTCGCTCTCGACCCTCCGTGGCGAGCTCAAGGACTCCCAGGAACTCGTGGAGGAGAAGACCCGGATCGAAGACGCCCTCAGGAGACGGACCAAGAAGCTGGAGGACGAGCGAACGTCCCTCACGCGCGACCTTGAGAAACTGAAGGTAGAGAGAGACGGATCGGATTCTTCAGGAGGATTCGCAGGGTTGCTGGAAGGAGATTTCGTGATGCTCTTTTGTTTTTTTCTATTCTTTTTTTTTTTTTTAGTTTTTCATTCTGTTTGCGATGAGATTTCCTTTTTTTATTTACTCTTCAGTTCATTTTATTCACGTAATTTTCACCTGTACCTTCTTTTCATGCGATTTCACTTGTAATAATATTCACGTTAGAGGTTTGGAAAAGAGGAGAGAGCGCGTAGGTGGTGATAATAAGGGAACAGCAGACACAGAGAGAGGGTCGGTTCCCGCAGAGCCGTTCGGAGGAGCAGGCCGAGACGCTGAGGAATCAGCAGGAGAGGAACCACGAGGCCTCCGAGCAGATTCTCCAGCAAAAGCAGAAGCAGGCAGAGGCAGACGAACAGCTGAGCAGCCTAAAGGTTCGAGGGCAGGCAATAAGTCTTTGTTGTGCATGACGAGACTGCCTGACTGCCTGCCTATCTTGGCCGTGGCAACACTACATGACTGCATGCCTGATGTAGGCCTGGCAACATTGCCTAATTGTATGCCTGCCTTAGGCATGGCAGCACTGCCTGACTGCCTGTCGTATGCATGGCAAACTGCCTGACTGCCTGGAGTGAGTTCAGCTTGAGCTTATACCTGCAACTTGCACGGAAGACAGATATGCAACGGGACTGCACGCACACGCACTTACGTATGCACGCATGGACAGACACATGCATTCATGCACGAACACGCAAACGCACTCAGATTATCGCTTAATGTTGTCAAAAGTAACATTGTTTATGTAGATTTCTCGATTACGTAAAAAGCATGCCACACACGGAGAATGATGATCAAATTTGCATGAGTATTTACATCCGCAGTGAGCAGCTTCTAAGTACACGTGGGTTTTGGACTTACAATTTCTTCCTGCATGCATTAAAGCAGCGTAGATATCTCCCGTTCGCGTAACACAGCGGATGCACTCGGATTAAGGAACACAGCACGATAAAAGTAAATTGGACATTTTTACTGTAGATTTTCAAGCGGATTTTCTTCCTTCTGCTTTAGGAAATGTTGTACTTATCTAAAGGTTGTATTTTCCTCTTGTTTTTCGTTTTACAGATGCTAGTGAGGGGTCTGTTGTAAAAGTAGTGGGTATGGTGTGTAAGGTATATTGAAGAAAAAAAAGTTGCCTCGGTGTTATGTTGCTCTTGGTTGATACGTAGTTTTTCGTCACGTAAACAACCTTTGTATTGTAAGCAGGTCCTTTGATAAGCCGATATACAAGAGCTTAAACGGAGCTACAGACAAACTGTATTTAGACAACATTAACATCTGCAATGAATCTGGTCTTCTACATACCTATCTTTACTTTATCTCTTTTCTTCTTTTTTCTTTGCTTATTTGGAAGTCACTAATGAAGTCTATTATTTGCTTATTCTAAGGTCTTTCTCTTTGCTTGTCTTGCCTGTCTGTCTAACTGTTTCTCTCTAACTTTCTCATTCTCTTTCTCAACCTCTCTCTCTCTCTCTCTATCTCTCTCTCTCTCTCTCTCTCTCTCTCTCCTCTCTCTCTCTCTCTCTCTCTCTCTCTCTCTCTCTCTCTCTCTCTCTCTCTCTCCTTTAATCTTTCCTTCCAATCCATTCTCCTCCTCCTTCTTTTTCCCCTTCCTCCCCCACATTCCTCTTGCCTCCCTCTTCTCCCCCTACCTCCTCCCCCATCCTCCCCTCTCCTCCTCCCTCCCTCTTCCACCCCTCTCCTCTTCTTCCCTCTTCCTCCTCACCCCTCCTTCCATCCCTCTTCCTTGTCACTCCCTTCCTCTTCCTCCCTTCCTCTCTTCCCCCCTCCCTCTTCCACCCCTCTCCTCCTCCTCCCTCTCCTCCTCCTCCTCTTCCTCCTCCTCCACCTCCTCCTCCTCCTCCTCCTCCTCTTCTTCTGCTTCCTCCTCATCATCATCATCTTCCTCCTCCTCCTCATCTTCCTCCTCCTCCTCCTCCTCTTCCTCCTCTCCTCCTCCTCTTCCTCCTCTTCCTCCACCTCCTCCTCCTCCTCCCTCTCCTCTTCCTCCTCCTCCTCCTCTTCCTCGTCCTCCTCCTCCTCTTCCCCCTCTTCCTCCCCTTCCTCCTCTTCCTCCTCCTCCTCCTCCTCCTCCTCCTCCACCTCCTTCTCCTCCTCCTCCTCTTTTTCTTCTGCTTCTTCTTCTTTTTCTTCTTCCTCCTTCCTCCCCATATTTCATCCCTTTTTAATTCCCTCTCTATTCCTCAGGGAGAAGTGGGTCGCCTCAAGGAGCAGCTCAGCCAGAAGGAGGGCCACCTCAACGAAGTCAAGGAACAACTCGAAGGAAAAACAGCTGACGTCACTGATCTCACGGTGAGAAAAAAAAAAAAAAAGTTTAGGAGTAAGTGAATCATTATTGCTATCATTATTGTTATGAGTGGCATTGTTATTGCTGTTGTTGTTATTATTATCATTATTGTTATTATTGATTCTGTTATTATCATTAATATTATTATCAATATTATTATTATTATTATAATTATTATTATTATTATTATTATTATTATTATTATTATTACTGCTGCTATAGTAGTAGTAGTATCACTATTTATCATTATTGTTGTTAGCATGATTATTATTATTGTTATTATCACTATCATTGTTATTATTATCGTTATTGTTTCTATATCATTGTTATTATTATGAATGTTATCATTGTTATTATTGTTATTATTATTATCATCACTATTATCATTATGATCATTGTTATTATCATCGTTATTATTATTAGCATTAATAGTAATAATAGTAATAACAATGATATCATTACTACCATTATTATCATTATTATTATCACCAATACAAACACCGCAAGTATTGCTATTACTGCTAGTATTATCTATACCAATACCATTTATATTATTATACCCACTTATACCCATTAATATCACACTATTGTATGTCTTATGATTTTTAATCCTGTATTAATTCATAACTCTCACTCGCATTAGCAGCGAACCTGGTTATTTAGGCCTACTCGGCTCTCGTCTCAGCGTGCATTTTATTTACGTAAATCAATGGAGTCTGCTTCTATTTCGATTTTGTATGTGTTGGATGTTTTATTTACTTTGATGTGATTTATGATATTATTTTGAAATGTGTTTTGAAAAGTAGAATATGTATATTGTTTTTTTTTTATGACGTTAAGGGTTGGTAATAATTTCGATTTTTTTCTTTTTTTCTGTACTGTTTCTTCTGTTTTTTTGTTTTTTTCTCTCATTTATTTTGGTAACGGTGTTAATGATGACTGTGAAATATATGACATGAGCCAATATGATAACAATGATGACAATAATATTAATGGTAAGATGAATGAGTTAAGATTTACTTAGTTTTTATATAATTAGATGTTAATGATGTTGTTCAGTCTTTCTCTCTTTTTCATATTTGATTGATATTTTTACCATTATTTCATTTTACTTGCACTACCAATATATAGTAGAATTAGATATTGTTTGTTTACTTGTTTCTCCTCATTTTCTCATATTCCCGGAATGTTTCATTTTCCTTTTGTTTTATTCTCCTTTATTTCTCTTTTTTTTCCTTATCCTCTCATTTACTCTCTCCCCTCATCCTCTGTTCTTCTTTCTCCCTCTTTCTTCACCTCCACCTTCTGCATTCAACCCTTTTCTGCCCACTCTCCTCCCCCTTACTGACCCCTCTCCCCCTCCTCCCCCCTTACTGACACCTCTCCCCCTCCTCCCCCCTTACTGACCCCTCTCCCCCTCCTCCCCCCTTATTCCCCCCTTACTGACCCCTCTCCCCCCTCCCCCGCAGGCCCAAGTGCAGCGGACGGAGGTGGAGGCGGCTGCCGTGCGAGGCATCCTGGAGAGCACGCA